AACTTGATAACCCTCTTCAACCTAACCTAACCTGACCTAGTGTCCTATTGTTATAGTGTTGTTTGGAAAAACCGGAAAATCCGCCATCGGCAGTCGCATGTGGAGGACGGACGGAGGAACGTGCGGACAGATCGGGTGCCGAAGACCCGACGTTTGGATATTACCTCTTTCCCGAAAAACTTGATAACCCTCTCCAATCTAACCTAACCTAACTTAGTGTCCTATTGTTAAAGTGTTGTGTGGAAAAGCCGGAAAATCCGCCATCGACACTCGCATGTGGAGGAGGGACGAAGGAACGTGCGGACAGGTCGGGTGCCGAAGACCCAGACTCGGAGACCTAGAGATACGGTGACCCTGTGCGTGAGTGTGGGTCTTTTCCGGGCGGAATAAAGACGCGACTTTATGGGCGATGCGCGATACCGGTTATTGATAGCCGCGCGGCATTAGCGGATGCCCGGCTCCCCTCCTGCCCCCCCTCCCCCTGGAGAGTCCCCGGTTTATCCCGTACGCGCATCTCGGGCGTCAGCGGGAGCCGCGGCCGCGGGCGGGCAGCGCCGGGTGCGACTATCGGTCCACTCGACACCCTCCAAAGTCCGAGGAACCAATGGTCCAAACGGCCCCGATAACGTTAATGGTTTTCGTGCGGATGGTTAGGTTACCGTATCGATCCTGCCGCCGTCGCACACCGGGCACAACTCTCAGAGTTCGGGCTCAGGATCTGTGAACGAGGATTCTTTTTCGACGGAGTGAACTGGAAGAAAAACACATCGGATCTAGAGTCCAGACTCTTGAAAACATTGACAAGAAAAGATACTCTTGATGTAATCAGAGTTTTGCTTTAATCAAAAGGAATTAAGAGGCTTGGTTCTTGATTTAAGCAAAAACCCGATTGAATCAAGAGTATTTTTCCTTGTCGATGTTTTTGAGAGTCTGCAGGACTCTAGATCCAATGTGTTTTTTTGCCAGTGTACACCTTCAGCAGAGACTGAGGAGACATCAATTTATCAAACTCCTCTTGCTAAAATACCGGTAAATCTTTACACTTTCGGAAGAATTGTGTCCATTTTGCCTTAGAGCTTCTATACAGGGAAAGTACGACGGTCGGTAATTTTGAGTTTAGGTCACGGAGATTTTAGGGCCCAAAAGGGCGGTCAAACTATGAATTCAAGTCGTCCAGAGTGATTTAGTATTAAAATTGTTGTGGCCCTTTGTTTTTACCCAAACTGCACTGCACTGAGGATTGTCTCAACAAGGCCGAAACGCGTTTGCAGTTGCCTTCCTGAATGGACGTAACTAGTGTTGCTCCACACAGCGTATCTACTCGAAGGAAAATTGTGCTTGTGTGTGAGCTGTTTCCCTCTGTAATGAGATATAAGCTTTAAGCAGTACTTTTTACGCACGATGGCTAAAAAAACCGTCATTATTGCCTTTGTTTTTAGCACGCATTTGACTTTTTTTTGCATAAATTTACTCGTTTTTCAGGAAGAAAGCTCACTAATGAACATTCATGGCCACCTTGGAATCTGAAGATTGGCAGTGACAATTTTGTCTGAAGGTTGGCTGCCCTTTTTGGCCTTTTTGTAGATACTCTATTTCTCTGTTGTTTGTCATTTTTTTGCCATTCCCTTATTGAGCTCATCAGTTTTTCGTAGGGATCTTCAGAGCCAATGCCAAAATCCGATCTGAAGTAATTCAATATTGTTCATTTTACAAATGATGCAATACAAGGAAAAGTGTGATTCTCGGCAAAAATGTGCATCGGCATTTGTTTTAAACTCATTCCAGACGTTGGAATCCGAAATTGTTTAATCTCGTCTAGAAGGCTGTCGCCATTTTCTCATTTCAATTATATTTGAATTTGAAAAAAAGAACTTGATGAAAAAAAATAGTCATCAGGAACCTGCCAGTGAAAACTTAAACTCAAATGTGGCTTGACAAAATCTTGGTTTAGATTGGCTCAGAACGAATGCTTTGAGCAACCAAAATACTATAAATGACGGAGGAGACGGTACTTAGACGTAAAATAAAAAAGATAAATAAAAAAGAAGAAGAACGAAACAAAATAACTCTAAACTTAAAAATTTGTTTTCGTTCAATATTCCTATCCGTTCGTTAAAGTCTCCAGCTCTATCCAGTCGAATACCTCGCTTACCCACCGAGCGGCGGCGTGCGGCGCAATGTTGTCTATTCTCTCTGGTAGATCACACAAATACACTCGGCTTGCTAAAGTTATTGTCGTCTTTTTATACGATCCCTTTTACACTCAATATAAAGGCTAGTTGTAACCGAGAAGCTATTACCCGACCTTTTAAGCACGGGAATAGATAAAAACAGCTTAGTAGCTAGAGACGTCTCTCCCCGAACACGGGCAAGCGAACTCGTGCAACAAAAGCAATAAGTGTTAAGAAGAGGCATGCAGTAGAGAACCACTGTTTCAGGTGCACGCTAGTGGAGTGCTGCTGGTCACTCTAATCAGGACTGGTCAAATCCATACTCATAGTTACTGACTTGATTTTCAAATCAAATACAGGGTTATTCAAAAGTCACGCACCACTGGCCATAACTTTAGTTCTAAATATGATACCGACTTGCGGTTTCAGACGTTTTTCCTCAAATCGAGGGGGAAACTTTTTTAGTCACATTCCAGTTTCTGATCCCCTCGGGGGAGAGGGGGGGGGCTTCAAAAATTTCAAATGGCCACCCCCCTCAACCCCTCATGGCCAGTGGTGCGTGACTTTTGAATAACCGTGTATGAAAATTGGCTCATCGGGGAAAGGAAATGCTAATGGTGTTAGACTGTCGAGCTGAAGTAATCTCCAGTAAATCTAGTCAGTGGATCATTCTGCCGTGCTAAGGAAGAACGCCGCATGAGCCTTTTCATAAAGGATGAACTTTTTCATAAAAGGCGGCCTCTCTCTGGAGAATCGGAGCTCTCGTCTTCTATTTAAGAGAAGGAAAATACAAGAGGAAAGAGTAAAATGAGAAGAGTAAATAACAGTTGCGGAAGTGGCCATTAGAGGCCTGTCTGGGTTCCGCCACTGGAGGAAGCATTGACTTTGAAAATTAAACAACCTGAAGATTACGTGTCAACTCGATGTTCTCACCCAAAGAAGGCCCTAACCAGCGACTCCGTTGAACCCCGGTAAAGCATCCGAGTGCTAAAATCAAAACCAACAGATGCTGCAAGTGGTTGAAAATTCAATTTTTACATCGCGCCCGGCCAAGTTCATTGTCCGCGGCTGTATAACGAATTCTAACTACTAACTAATTGTCTATGGAGGAAGTTAATCTGGTGGTAGCAAGTATGAGAACTGCATTTACCCCTCCCGACTCCCACTAGCGGCTCAGACCACGTGGTTTGGAGAGGAAACAGCGTGCATTATTTGTACAACGAGCCCCGACCCGAGCCTGGTTGTCAGATTTTTTTTTTTTTTTGTAAGTTCGTCGTAACCTCTCTTTAGACTTTTCTTGGATAAATATCTGTGAGCCTCTATTATAAATACCAGAGCGATAGACTCAAAGTAACTTTTACTATTTCGTTTTTCTTTGCAATATTTACAGTAATAAATAATTCAAGAGTAGGAACAAAAAAAGCATAAATTATGGTAACTTAAAGCAGGATTGTAACTACTTGTTTTCTGTTTTGAGACATCACGAGAAAGCTACCCAGTGATCTCATTGCTACCACCGTATTCTATACCTTTCAAAGTTATGCGACAATTTTAAAGAGGAAGTTTTGAATCTCACGTCTAGTTTTCGATGTCACCTTTTTTGTTCACTCGAGCTGAGCCCCGATGAGGCAAATTGAAAAAGTGCATGATAGATTTTCCTGAAAATATTAGATATGACCCTTTCCAGGATTTCCGACGCTATGAAATACCTGGAAAGTCAGGGAATTTACGGTGACCTGAACAATAATTCAGAGACAGTTGCGCATAGCTCGTCGGTTCAGCAGCTTTAGCCGTTTGAGAGACAACTTTCGAGTGTTGTTTCCTTAATTCGAATCTCTAAAAGTGAAAATTCCCCTCACAATTTTTTCAAAAGTTAGTGTAATGAAAAGGGTGAAAATCCTAGCGGTGGTTTTGATTGAAAGTTTGGAAATTCGGGTATTTTGGAGTCAGGAAAAAGCAAAATCAATCAGGGAAATTCAGGGAATGGGAAAATAAAGAATTTATTGAAACCCTGCTCTTCGTCACAGATTCCATCTCACCTGAATTGAATTCTCCATCCATTCTCACAGGAAGTGCAATATTACCAAGCAGCAAGCTCTGATCGCCTACAATTGGATTGCATTTTGCTATAAGGAACCACTATACCTGGCTCTTTCTTAAAGACACCTACCTGCATTGGGAAACCAATGGCAAGTGTGTGATTTCTAAATTGAGCTAGAAACAGTGGTTCCTTATTGCAAAATGTGGTCCAATTAGGCGGCAACGTGGAAGTGCAGCTCCTAGCTGTGTTTATATTGCTTGAGTTAGGAGGAGCATGGCATGCTGGACAGTGAGCAATGCGATCCGTCATTGTTTATCCTCGCATTGACAATTAGGTGGCGGTAGCTCATTAAAATTGTTCTCACACGTCCTGTTTTGATGCCTTGTCGACGCGATGTGACGCCTCCCGGGTGAGATATCTGGATAATAGGCCATTGTCTCCGCCCGCGCTCGCCCCAGGTGTCGCGCCTCCCCGCGCGCGAGCTTCTGCCCGAATTAATCCGCCCTAATTAATCGCACGCGCTAAATCACCCCCCCCCCCCCCCCCCCTCCCACACAATCCCCATTGTATCGAATAACCATCTACCTTGCTCTCAGATTTTCATTGCTCTTCGCGTTGCGTACATTTTTTGATCTGATTTAGAATGTGTACCAGTACCACTGGTCCGAAAATCTCTTGAGGTCCGGAAAAAAACAGGTATTTTTGTAAATTCGAAAGTAAAAAAAAAAAAAAATAATAAATAAATAAAAAAATAAAAATAAACAGGATAATCATGACAAATTACTTACTCAATTGGCCCTTATTGTGAAAATCTCAGATTTATTTCCGCTTTGTAATCTGTAACAGAACAAAATTCATGATCGAATTATTTTTTTTTAAATATCACATTTATCTTACGAACAAATCAAAGCCGTGGGTGGTAGGTTAATATTTCCAATACACATTAATGTCCACAGAAAAGAATAATTTATGTGTGGTGAGACCCACTATGGTTTACATTGTGATCAAGTTATCAATGTAGCAGCATTAAAAACTTAAATTCTCGCAAAACTCGAATACAATTCATCTGTTTAACTTTTTCGTAAATCAATAAATTATATTCGTCACTGCAAATGATACAGAAAGCACACGAATATTGCAGAAAAATTTTGAGTTAGGAAACGACCTACTTTAAATTGACGAAAATATTATAACTTCTTTCGCTTTTTGAATTTTAGAAGCGGCAAATCATTGTTATCCCCGGTAAGGATCATCTGAATCGATAGTTAAACTATGTTGCACTTTTTTCAGGTATTGTACAAGTTGAGCTCTGTATAGATGCCAAGTTGGGAAAGTCCCAGTCCCTCAATCACAGAGTAATCCATAGGGGGCCACCTTGAGTAAACGAGCTGATAAAAGAACGACAATGAATACATCCTCAAAA